GTAATCTTGAAGATAATTTTTTTTTAAAGTTTAAAAATGTGTGTTGACATTTGTAATAATATTCGAGATTAAATTATTAGACTTGCGTTTGTTAAAGCATACTTTGGTTACAGTAAACTAAAGAAACAAAAAAAACAGCTTCAATATACAAGCCAAGCATATCGATAATGACTTATCGATAGATTATGGTACAACACTAAAGACATCCGCCATTTGTAACTTTCAAATTTTGGTTATATGCACGTTGATTCTGTAGTTAGGGCAGCTCCTTTCTTTTATTTTTTTCCATCTAAGGTAGACACCATGGATTTAACTCGTGAAAATTTTCGTAGTGTGATTTTCAACGACTTTAAGTGTAATTCAACAGCTCAGCGGAGCTTCGCTCGCCTTCAAACTGCTTTTGGCGATGAAACACCATGCAAGACGACTATTTTGACTATTTTTGGCTGGTTTGCAGAATCCAAACGCGGCCGTGTGAATATCAATGACGAATTTCGTGATGATCGCCGGTCCACTGCTGTGAACAACAAAAACATCGATGCTGTGCGCCGTATGATCAAAACTGACAGGCATGTGATATACCATGAGATTCGGATATCTTTAGGCATAGGCCTGAGTCAAATACAATCAACACTACACAAACATTTAGGTGTGAAAAAGCTGTGCTATCGGGGGATCCCACACAATTTGGCTGAGGTTCAAAAAACGGATCGCGTCTCTTGGTACAATGGCATGCTTACTAGATTCAACGAAGGGGTGTCCAAATTTAGTGTGGGACGTAGTAATATAGTAACATGGATTTATAACCCATATCCCAAAACAAAGCAGCAATCGAGTGTAGGGGTCTTTCGAGATGAGCCTAATGATTGCTTCTTTTTTTAATAAAACTGGACACGTGGATACTGTTGCTTTGGAAAATCGTTGACCGTGAATAGTGATTGGTACACGACCATTTGTTTGCCGGAAGTTAACAAGACAAACTCCATAAAAATAACTTGTAAACGGCGTATCATCTTGCACCATGATAATGCCAGTTCTCACACGGCCAGACAAACAAATGAATTTTCGAAGGTGAACAACGTTGACTTTATGAGCCATCCCGTGTACAGTCCCGACCCGGCACTTTGTGACCGTTATTTATTTCCAAAAATTAAGAACCAGTTACGCAGGCAACAATTTTCATCACCTGAAGAGGCTGTCGAAGGGTATGAAAAATATGTTTCAGAGGCATAAATGTTTTAAAATTAGTTCATTCGTATGAAAAAGTGCATTAACGCTAACGGAGAATATTTTGAGAAAGAATAAATTCATTTACAATAAATTCATTTGGGACCATTTATACGGATACTTGTGCGCTTCACGTATAAACGATAGTGATGAAATTAACGTAAAGTAAACTTTTAAATACTCGCGATGACTTATAATGCCATGTATTGACACAAAGGTGCAAAAATGCATGAAATGTTTGTGCTCAAATAATAAGTAATAATAATATTATATATATTGTATAAATATATATGTTAATAGATAAGTATTGCGTATTTTTTTCCATCCTCTAGGGTAAATATATACTATAACCCTTAGACTGTCCTCTAAGCTAAAATTTTACTGAAATTATTTAACTAACTCATAGATGTAGTAGGTATCTAAATCTATGATCTAACTAAACTCTCAGAAGTAATATTTACGTAAAAATAATTGAATACCAATTCAATAAAAATTTAAAAAGTAATATTTACGATTTTCCAATTCGGAGCCATTAAAATTAAAAACAAAAATGACGTTTAAGTCTTGAGTATTTTTGACATGGCGTATGTTTGAAGAAAGAAATTGTAAATGAATTATTAGATCCCATTTAGCCTTTACTTTTTTATTAAACGTTTAATTTACTTTTGTAATACGTTTAAAAAATAATTGTTCTAATATGATGAACCGACATGCTTAGTGAGTCTCGGTAAGTACCTAGATAGCCGTTGTTTATAAATGAGTCAGATGGCAGATGGTTGTATTTTGCTGCACGCACCTTTACCGTGTGTATTAATGAACATGAAAAGGAAAGTGTGCCTTAAAATTTTAATTAGCTTTTACATTTCCAGCCCATCGCCAATATTAATATTTGCAATTATGCCTATTCAAAATGTGTTTTTTGTGTACTAAAGTCACATTTCTTATAACTTATTAATGACTGCTGTTATCGATCATAAGACAAGGTTAGACGATGTGCAATTCAACATAATACAATTAATACTAGAACCTGTGTGTTTAAATGTAAGAATTTATGTTAGTAGTCTATGATAGAGTTCCTCCGGTTCTAGAACCCATTACAAGACTCGTTTGGTTGCACGAGGCTTTAGCTAAAGAAGAGGCATTGATTAAGACGAGACGTTTGCTCCTGTTGTGAGACAGCTCGTTAAGAATGCTCATAACTTTGGCGGTCAACCTAAGTCTAAAAATAGATCATCTGGATGTTAAAACCGTGTTCTTAAATGGTGACCTAAATGAGAATGTTCACATGCAGCAGCCATCGCTGTTTACAGCAAAAGGAAAGGAAGATCTTGTGTGCTTGTTAAAGAAATGTCTTTACAGACTGAAGCAAGCGTCACGTTCCTGGAAACTTAAATTGCATACTGAGCTAGAGAGCTTCAAGTTCAAGCTCTGTAAACATGAATCCTGTGTATACATGAGGTCTACGGAAAGGACTTAATAATATTAGCCATTTATGTAGATTCTCATTTTCTACAACAATGAGAGGGAGATGCATAATGTTAAGGAAGAATTAAAAACAAAATTTGAAATGAAGGATCTTGGAAAAGCTGAACTATTTCTTGGGATACAGATTCAACAAGAAAAGGTTGCATTAAAATCAAGCAAGAGGGTTACATTGAAAAGCTTCTTCACAGATTCAAGATGGAAAACTGCATGGCAGTTAGTACACCAGCAGCTCCTGGACAACAATTTGAAAAAGGGAAAGAGGCTCCCTGATGTATATAGCTGTTTGTACAAGGCCAGATATAGCACATTCAGTAAACTTCATGAGTCAGTTCTGCAATTGTTATGATGAAGTGCACTGGATCACAGCTAAAAGGATCTTGAGATACTTAAAGGGTACCACATGGGACTTGTATACTCTAAAGACGTGTTTTGTAGAAATATTCAAGGTTTTGCAGATGCTGATTACGCTAGAAATATAATAGACAGGAGGTCATACTCCAGCAACATGTTTAAGATGGCAAATGGAGCCGTCTCTTGGCAGAGCACCAAGCAAAAGAAAAGATGTACAGCCTTATTGACAGCTGAAGCTGAGTGCATCAGCTTATTGGAAGCTACAAAAGAAGCCATATTTCTACAGAGATTTCTGAATGAAATCATGGGCAAGGAGGAGTTACCTATCACGGTACATATGGATAGTCAATCTGCTATGGCAATAGCCCTAAATCCGGTGCAACATCAGCAGACAAAACATGTTGATGTTCACCATCATTTTATTAGAGAAGCATTAGAAAGGGATACTGCCTCCATGGCCGAACAGTTACCATGCCGAACTGCCACGCAGAGGTCTCAGGTTCGATTCCCGGGCCGGGAGAAATATTTGTATGGCCTACATTTATTTCTCCCGTGAGTTTGGGTGTAATTTGTGGTTGTCTATGTGTGTGTCCATGGCACCCGCGACACAGGGTTTCCCTAGTGCGGGGCTATGTTGAGTGTGTGCGTTATTATTATTATTATTATACTATAAAGCTCAAGTACTTAGAAACCAAGTGCATGGTTGCTGATGCTTTAACGAGAGCAGTGTAAAAGGGCAAGTATGAGTATTGCCGTAAAGAAATGGGTGTGTACTGAGTTTTCATGACTGACAAGGTTTTTTGATAGTATAAGGAAAGCCAGATGTAAATAATTGAGGAGGAGCTCTATCTTTACTTTGAACTTTGTAGTACGACCCTGTCGTACTAAGTTGCGCATAAAAAATTAACACAAAATATCCTCGCATCATATTTTTTTCGATTGCCCACATTTCTATATTCAAACGTTAATTGTACTGGCAATGCTTGCACCTACTGTAGCGCCATGTTTTTAACAAATTGTTGAATCATTATTGTTATATTCTGCATTTATTTATTTTTAAGTATTTACAATAAATTGAACATTAGACTTTATATCCAATGAGTAGGTACTTGTACACATTTATGAGTGTATAAATAAATAATCAAAAGTTAAAGTTTTAAAATATATAGAGATCATAAAACATTTGTTAATATTCTTTATTAATATTTACAACACTTTTAGTTTGACAGAATCAAATTTAATTCTAATCAACCAGAATCTCACCAGATTGTTTCTTTAATTACTCTTGCTGGGGAATGGACTCAAATCCTCTACTACAATTCACACTCAAATACTGAGCCACTTAAATTGCCAAAACAGATGAAATATATCATAGAAAAATATTATCATTTAATAGGTTTAATTTTGTGTACCTAATATAAGTAGTTTTGATAGCGACAGTTTCACTATCTTGGAATTGATAATGATGTTAGATGTTCATAATAAACATGGCTTATTTTACTATATGAATAATAAAGTATCTTGAAAGATTTAATATTTAGTGTGCCATTTGCAGGTAATGGGTGTATGCTGGTGTAAGGACAAGGCTCCAGAGCAGGAGGTGTACGCGCGGTCGGCGCTGCACGGGCACGCAGTGGTGCTTAGCACCACCGAGGCCCGTGCCCCAGCACCCACTCGCGTCTCCTGCAGGAAGGTTGACCAGCTTGTCATGGAAATGCTCACACTTATTGCTTCGTTTGTTGATAAGTAAGTATCAAACATTAAAACCCTATGAATGGCTTCCACTGGAAAAGCTTTGAAGAAAAAAGGGTCTGGCTACCAAGAAATAGAATGTCTAATTTCAAGGTCCATTATTATCATATGTCAGGAAGACCTATTTTATAAAACAAATGTACAATTTTATTAAATATGACATGTACAATTTGATTTTTATTTGTTTATATATGACTGTGTATTGGTTGGTTATTTTTTTGATAATGTACTCATAGACATATTAGAAGAGAAATGTTAAAACTGATGAATTATAATAACAATGTTCGTGTGAACTTCTGGCCACATATACCAGAACATTTAATCAAAATCAATCTATGTTTGAAGTTTTTTTTTTTCAATTTATTTAAATTTAGGTACCTACCAGAACATTGTGGCTATTGGTTCATGTAAACATTGTTATCATAATTCAACCTTTTTTAATCGTGCATGAGTGTATGTGGATTAACTTCACTTTACAGTCAGAATCCATTTCAACATTATGCACCTATAGTTGAAAATACATTTCAAGATGGCTACACTAGAAACCCGAAGAAAAGTGATTAATCTGACCTGGCATTATTGATTGCCCTGGTCTGCTCTCTAAAATAGAATTGCTTATCCCGCGACAATTGCCGAGGTCTGGTAGACATAGGCTCTGCCATAGGCCAAGATGTTACACAAATTTGAGGCTACATTGTTTCTTATCACGAGCAACAACACTATATAAGGAGTATCAGAATGAAATTGATCAAAATTTTACTTCCGTTTCTATGATAAAAAAAGTGATGTGAGAAGTTTATAGTTAAGTTTCTAATGATTGTACTTTTGTATCATCGTGACCAAATATTATTGTATTTCGTTTAGTGCATGCTGTGTCCTCCTTTAAGTAATGGGACACAGTTTAAAACCATAGTGTCTACTCTGTATACCTTCATACTTATAGTGTGCTCATTGTCGTGAGAGCCTGATTAAAAAATAAAATAGCATACACCCAATTAATTCGAAGCGATTGATCCACAATGAGTGGTGAACATTACCAGTTGAAAATTAGCGTTTAGTGCATTTTATAGAATTATTTATTAAAGTCACTAATAAATTGAAACAAAACATGGTATATGAACCATCTTCTTTTATTAAAAAATAGTATGGTGTGCACCTGACGTAAGATATTCATCATGGGATGTGTTTGAAGTTTAACATGGGATATTGTGCAATACCAGTTTGTTTTATGGTTTCTTTTGTGCACCTTTTGAAATACTGCAAAAACATTCTACTATTTTCTACTAGATATGGCCTGTTTCTTCTTTCTACTCACATGACCTATTACGCTGAGCGCGTGCTATATTTACATAATGCATTCATGCATGCTGAATATAGTCACAGTATGGATCTGGAACACATCCATATTTATTTTAATTGGAAACGAAACTGTTTTTTCCCATCTAAATCGCCCATAATTGCTTTTCAAACAATTGTTTTTTTTTTGTCACGGCTGATGTAAACAGCCTGAAAGATTTTCTTTAAAAAAAAAAAGGTTTAGATTCGAAAAAATAGTCTCATTGCCAATGTGGAGCAATCGCGAAAACCTAAGAACTCGATATATCCATATTGCAATATATCCATATTCCCAATATATTGGGACAAACCTAGCTCCATAGTACTACATATTTTTGTATTTTTCCTTTTTTTTTCATTGTTCAAATTTAACAATTGTGATATGTACTAAAAATAATGAGTATCAAATGTAAAATATCGTTTCACAACTGTCCATTCCCTGATTTAATCAAATTAAAATTAATGTTCTAATGACTATTTTATGTAAGTTTTTCAATTATTTAAGTCTGGCTTTATTTGTATTTGGTCCAAACTAATTTCAACAAAATTCCTTTGTTACATTAATAAGATTATGCCAAATGTGTTTCAGCGCGAATGCAATTACATAAATGCATTACATATAACATATGGTACCTACTTGTAATTTGATTTTGTGCGTGATGCGAATTGAGAACTAGCCAATTATGGTATTGCTATTATTCTAGGACTTCATAATTCGCTACAGCGAGTTGCAGATTTTTTGTGCTCATTGTAGTTATGCTAAACGAGCATGCGGCATAAACAAGTACTCTTGTGTTCTCTCAAAGTAACAAGTAAAAGACATTCTATATCTTTTTTATCGTATCGATGGTATACACTGTAAGGGCGCATTTATTCGACACGAACTTCACCGCGCTCACGCCGCCGCGCGCCGCCGCGTGGGGACTACATCTAACTGTCATGGCAAATTACGCTCTATTTATTTGGCTCTTACGTTTTAACTTAAATGAGCGTCACGGGCGCGCGAGCGAGTCTGGCTTGTCTTTGGTCTAGTTTGGGCGGCAGCCACGAGGCGTCGTGCGGTTGTATTATTCAGAGGAATTAAAATGTTGTTGCCTAGTAAATAGAATTCATATTCTCCATTAATGTACTTGAAAGCGTGGTAACTAGGCGGTCGCCGCGCGAAAACTTTCGCGTCGTTTAACTGGGCGCTGATGCTTCCCATCGTGGTGAAAGGATTTGCCAATCGCCGCAATGTACTCGCCGATAGTTGTCCATGGTGCGTCAGACGTACAGGAAAGGAATGGTACGTCGTGGACACTCTTCAAGACTCCTTTCGTGGATATTCTATTAATACACAAAGAAACGTTTTGTTATAAATACAAAGCGTTTGTAACATCGTAAAGGTTCTTTTCCAAGACCACCTTATATTAGGCCATTTGGATGGACAGACCAGTAATCGATCTGTTATGACAGTCGTTAATTACATCTCGGAACAAACTCGACCATGTTAAAGAAGTCAAGAGTTTTTCTTGCTTCGAATGTTTTAATTTTCCCTGGTTGATCAAATCAACAAGATGGAAGTCTCCTAACATGCCAACCGATGATGTGTTTGGGTGTTGTGCCGTGTCCCACTAGAAACTCTGTTTTTTGTCTCCGGGCGTAGACATATCACATCGTCCGTAGAGTTATTCCTCGTAGGCTGAGCATACTATTTTGATCTCATTACTGCTCTTGGGAGATAAATATACTGCTAATAGGTCATCACCAGAATCTAGACGGGCTTTCGGGAAAAGTCCAAGAACTTAGACCTCTCACCCTTCGACGTGTTTTTCTGCATCTTATTTTACAAAAGGCTACACAAATAAATAAACATGTTATTGTTTCCACAATAATTTTAATATCGAACTATATAAAATGTACCTCTTGAATGCAATACCCGTATATTTTGACTATTGTTTATTATCAAAATCCATTGCGCATAATAGAAATAGAAACCATTTATTGTAACGCCACATTGTAAAAGAAAAAAAAAACACAAAAACAAAGACTAATATAACTAAAACAGAAATAACACAAAGAACAGCGTAAAAACATTTCAACAACAAGTTGCATAATACTATACTGACATGTGTGCGGCTGTGGCGTGTACAAAAGGATCCCATTCAGCTAAAGTCACAACCAAGGCTAGGTTGTGACGCTGGTTTTCAATGGGCCCTAGCCGAGTGAGTGAGAGTGACGGACGTATGCGTCCCGGAACAGATAATAAAATAAAATAAACTACGTAAATACTTATATCATGAGTGTGTATAGTGTTATTGCAGTGTGTACTCTTATATCGAATAAATACTTACATAATCTTTGCAATATACATATATACATACAGGTATAAGTGTGTGTAGTGTGAAAACAAATTAATAAAATATTTAATACATATTTAAAGTACATTACTTCAAATATATTAAACAAGATATCTATTTTCGTAAAATAAAAGTTCTTTGACTTCAACATTAAACAACTCTTGTTCTTACGCAGTTACTATTTCGAATAATGCTATGTGAATTAACATGTTTAAATGTTTATGATTATTAAGTTAAATAAAAATATACAATCAAAATAACGTATCACTGTTATAAACATCATTCCATTATCATATTTTATTAGAAGTAATTCAATTGACTCTAAAAATAAAAATAAAAATAAAAGATATAGGAGCGCAAGATCCGCCATATTTGACACTAGTAATAAGATGTTGTGAACTTGTGATCGAGAAGGAAATATTAGCGTAGATGTTTTTATTGTGCTTTGAAGTGTAATTTACTAATATATTAACAAAACTACGAGTCATAACCTGTTTTGTTCATGAATCTGTTAGCTGCATGGGCGCCGAACGAGTTACGTGAGAAGCGCGGGGAGGGGTCCCTAGCTAATCGTAAAGGAACGAATATAGTTTGTACAATATAATAGTAACATCAAATTATAATCGATAAACATCTACCGTCACTAGCACAGCAGGTGCTCGGTATGCATTAGTTTTCTAAAAGTAATAGTTTTCAAACAATACAAATTGTATTTATATGTTGTACTTCTGCTATATATTCATGTATACAAGTGTTATTTGTTCTGTTTACCATTTGCAATTTATTATTTCAGTGATGAAGAGTCGCCGGTGTCACTGGTGAAACTTCACGTGATAGCAGATAAAGAAGATGGGTGGATTCAAGTTGTGACTTCTATAGTGAATGTGATCCCCTTGGACGACCCGTTCGGCCCTTCCGCCATCACGATTTTGCTGGATGACTGCCCGCTGCCCTCCAAGGAATCCGTAGTCAAAGTAAACGACATAATAATTGAAACTAAACATATAGTCCATTGTCAATGTGTGCTGATTACTTGTCTGTGTTGTAACCATATAACCATACCCATGGTAGATATTTTGGTCATGGAATTATTACACATTCACAGCTTTAAGGCTCCCTAGGAGCACGGACAAAGCACAACACATTTAAATACAAGCAGGTCATATTTTCTTCGATAATACACTAAATTATTAACACCTGAAATCACCATGGACGTACCATCTTACAAGAGGTTCACAATAATTATGGTGTAATTTATAGGTAACTCAGCTGTTCGGGCTGTCGTCGCAACGAGCAAACGCTGACGAGCTGAACGTGCGAGTGGAGAGAAACATCTGCGTGGTGTTGGGCTGTATCGCCGAGAAGCTGGCTGGTCCCAACAGCGTCGCCGTGCTCACTGATAGCACTCTCGACTACTTACTTGCGTTCCTTGTAAGTATCTAACATCAATTTCAGAGTTGGCCGCATATGGTTTGAAACGAAATTCACACAACTACACACAAATATGACCATGTACCAAAACATCACGGCCGCGGCAGAACATCATAAGCTCAATTTTAAATGTATTGTCTGTCCAAACGTATGTAATATTTGCGTGTGTGCTATATAGGAAAACGGCACCTTACAGGACAACGGCCTTCAAGGACACGACCCCGAATGTGTATTAAGGCTAGAAACATGGAAAGATGTAAAATTACAATTTTCCTAGCTTACCTTTTTAGCTAAAAGTTTTGATACGCTTTAAATGGTTTCATATTACAGATATCGCGTCGAGAAGCATGCGTTGTACTATTCGCGCTGATCGCGTTAGAGAAGTTCGCGCACACGACGGAAAACAAGTTGACAATAAAAATGCGGCTGGAGCGTGAACCTGAGAACCCTCTCATCGTCCTCGAAAGACTAGCAGGTAGTGAAGATTATCTCTGGCGACAGGTCGGCTTCTGCGCTAACTGGGCGCTGGACAACTTATGTAAGTACTTTCTAATTTATTGGCTAATATAAAATCTCACCTTAGTCGAATTCTTTATTATGTCCACATAAAACAAATCATTTTCGCGTACGGAACGCGTTAGGAATTGAAAAGCATAAACTTATAAAAATCTAGAGATGAAACCTTTGGATATATACTCCTTATGTATATAGATATACCTAAATCTTTTACTGTTTATAAACAAACGACAATGCGTGCCAATTTGTACAGAAAAGAGCTTGTTTTGTAAATTTAAATGTAGGTTGAAGTATTATTTATTTATTTGTTATGTATTATTATTTGGGCCACAATTTTATTATGTCCGCCGTTGGCCAAACCTTACAATAATGCGGATGACATTGTAATGTGAATTTTAATTCGAATTTGTATTTTATATTAATATCTTTTATTTTGAACAATTGATTATAATAGTAATGTGTATCGTGGTGCGAACCCTATCAGGGTTCATATTTTAAATGTACACCATATCTGTCACATAAATTCAATGAATGCCTTATACTTATAATATTTAAATAATTGTAATATATTGTGATGGTTATTTAAGAAGTACGTGAGGCGCACTATGAGTTTCCGGAATGAATAAGAAAAAAATACTATAAATGGTCAGAAATGAATTTACGATTTCTCAAAATATTCTCCATTAGCGCTAATACACTTTTTCATATGAATGAACCAATTTTGACAACTATTGTGACAATCTCTGAAACATATTTTTCATACTCTTCGACAGCCTCTCCAGGTGATGAAAATCATTGACCGCGTAACTGGTTCTTAATTTTTGGAAATAAATAAAAGTCACAAGATGCCAGGTCGGGACTGTACGCGAGATGGCTCATAAGGTCAACGTTGTTCACCTTTAAAACTTCATTTGTCTGTCTGACCCTGTGAGAACTGGCATTATCGTGGTGCAAGATGATAAGGCGTTTCGAAAGATCCATACGCTCGATTTCTGCTTTGTTTTGGGACCGTAACTATAAATTCATGTTTCGTCACCTGCTACTATGTCCCACACCAAATTTGACACCCCTTCGTTGAATGTGGTAAGCATGGCATTGCACCTAGTGACACGATCGGTTTTTTGAGCATCAGTCAAATTGTGTGAGATCCACTGAGAGCACAGCTTGTTCACACCCAAATGTTTGTGTAGTATTGATTGTATTTGACTCATGCCTGTGCCTAAAAATGTCTGAATCTCATAAGATGTCACATACCTGTCTGCTTTGATCATACGATGCACAGCATCGACGTATTTGTTGTTCACAGCTGTGGACTGGCGACCATCACGAAATTCGTCACTGAGATTCACACGACCGCGTTTAAATTCTGCAAACCAGTTATAAATAGTCGTCTTGCATGGTGCTTCATCGCCAAAAGCAGTTCGAAGCCGAGCGAAGCTCCGCTAAGCTGTTAAATTACACTAAGTCGTAGAAAATCGTACTACGAAAATTTTCACGAGTTAAATCCATGGTGATGTAGACAACCAATTTCTAAAATGACGCCACAATTTAAAAGCAAGTGACAGTCAAATGAATCAAACTGTATTCTATAGCCAAAGAGTATCATTTTCAAATGTTGTAATTACTTTTTAAATATTGTTTATGTAAGTGGCCAGTTCCGGAAACTTATAGTACGCCCTATGTACATATACATAGGACTTCAGAAGGAAGTCCATTACTAATCGATGAAACAGCTAATGCAGATTTATAGAGGAAGTACAAATAAATATTACTTCAAGAAGTAAATTATTTAAACTAATATCGGTAGTACGTTACGTATGTAATGAATAAAACGTCATGAATAACTTATTTAAATAAATAAAAAATGCCGGATACATATAGCCTATTTAACATAATTTTAGACTTCAGAATAACTTACCCCTCACAGGGATTAAGCTTTGAGAATATTGAACATTTTGCTAAAGAAAAATTAACACCACAAGTAAAAAAAGAAATAGAAGAAAGTATAAAATGCCAAACAAATAGTAAACTATGGCACACATTGAGACAGGGTAGAGTAACTACCTCGAAAATTCACTAGACACAATACGGATGGAGTTCTTGTGAAAACCATACTAGGCGGATATAAAATACCAGAGACAAACGCCATTAAACGTGGAAAACGTTTAGTAGTTGAAGTATTAAAAACACTGAAATTAAACTTAAGATATCAAGTTGTGGGTTACTGTTAATTACACCTTTTATTGGAGCTTTACCAGATGGGGTGGCAGACGCTTTTGTTGTTGAAACTTTAAATGCCCATTCACTGAAAAATCGATGTCGAACTACGTAAAAGACGATGTAATTAATGACAAATACAGGGTCCGTCCCAAAAGTATCGAACATTTTTTTTGGGAGTGTTGCCGAACGGCGGGAAGCGCTCCGCTTGGCAACAGAAAGTGGTGGGGGGATCTAGCCGATACAGCGCGACCGGTCCCAGTTGGCTCCGAGCACCTGGAGCGGCAGGACGTGCGTTCGCGTAGAGCTCTAAACGACACCTCGTCGAAGTTTTTAAAAGTAGCGCGATGACGGATCCGTTAGAACAGAGGTACGCAGTGAAATTTTGTGTTCTACTCGGCAAAAATACTGTGGAAACCAACGAGATGATTAAACAGGCCTTCAAGGACAAAGCCTTGTCCGAATCCTCGGTCAGGAAGTGGCACAAGATGTTCCGTGACGGAAGGGAAGAGGTGACCGACGAAGCCCGCTGGTCCCGCAGCCTCCCTACAGTCCTGACGTCGCCCCGGCAGACTTCTTCTTGTTTCCCAGCATCAAGTCGAAGCTCAAAGGCAAGCATTGGGGCACAATTAAGGACATCCAAGAAGCTACGACGAGGGCGCTGAAGGACCTACCCGTTGACGTCTTCCAGGGGGCCTTCCGGGCATGGAAAACTCGCCTACAAAAGTGCATCGATGCTGAAGGGTGTTATTTTGAAGAGTACTAATGTATGGTACCAATAAGTTCAATAAAAGTATTTTTCCTGAAAAATGTTCGATACTTTTGGGACGGACCAGATATAAAGCTCGCGTTCAATTGCAAATGCATGCTACAGATATAAAGAAAGCTCTGTTTGTAGTTGCAGATCCTAAGTTTGAAACAAACAAAATTTCTTATAAGCACTGGCTGTATTACAACAGATTATATGTCGAAAAATTAATAAAAGAAGGAGAATGCTTTTAAAAAATTTTGTGTTAGAGATAATGTTAGATTCTACAAAAATAAAGTACACAAATCTTTTACTAACCTACCTATTAGTCATTTCTAGTGAATTAATTCTGATTAGAAGATTTACAGTACAATATAAATATTCTTTATTGCTTAAAGGAACATTTGTGAAGATGCACGTAAATAATGAAGTACAATAGGCGGCGTTATTGCTAATAGAAATTTCATCCAAACAACTTTTGGGTTTGAGAAGTTATACAAATATTTAAAATATTATAAGTAATAACTAGATTATGTGAAGGCTGGCTTTAAAATGATTTTAAAAGAAGACTAAATTCATGATTATCTTTAGAAATGTAATCTCCAGCCCAGTATAACGTTGTGTTAACAATTTCGAAGAGTGGGTGATTGTAGATTAATAAGACCACAAGCTAATGTAACTGCACCGTCCAATGATTTAACTCATTATAATCATTCGCTTGCGCGCAGTGCGATAAGCCGGGCGTTGCTCTAAACCGTGCGTGTTCATTAATTCGGCTGAGATATTTACCCACTATTTTTCCTAAAGAAAATGGCTAATTTAGCACAAAATGTTTGCAATGTGGAAAGTGTGTTTAGTAGTTCCATGAAACGTGTGTGTCACTATCTATCGAACAAATAACCTCACTATCTTCAACTGGCAATGCAACACATGCAGGGGTAGGGCCAATCATCAAGGCGTTTATCTTATATTCTACCAGATGAGGTAGATGACGATAACATGGAAGCAACTTCACCATCAGTCACCACTACGACGCAGAAAATGTTACACCAAATAAAAGTGGAGGTTCAAAATATAAAAACCAAAGTACACTGCAATTCTATTTAGATAAAATTGATGATTATGAATGTAAACTACAGAATTATGAAAAACAATTAGAATTATTAGATAATCAATGTTATGATTTAAAAAATAACTTTAAAAACATTAACCTAAAGTGCAGTGTGCTCGAAAACAAATTGAATTTAATTGAACAACAATAATTGTCAAATCAGCTTGAAATTTGCGACATCAAGGAAAAAGAGAACGAAAGCTCTGAAGAATTGGTTTAAAATGTAGCAATAAAAATAGGACAAAATCCGGAGGATATATATAATAAAGGTGTATAGGAAAAAAAGCTACTATCCACGACAGCGAAAAGAAATGAGTCACCAGTAGCATCATTGTGGCTTTGCCAGAGGGATCCCGAGACCTTTAGTTAAACGCAGCCATGAAGACGACAATTTTACCTGCTTATATTAGGGGTAAAAGAGATGGCAAAGTTTACCTCAGAAAGTCAATAAATTAATAATTTCTAAGGAAAAAATATCGTGTTCAGGACAACCAAATCTCTAAATGGTTTCTTAATTTTTACACCATTATCAATTTGAAATGTTTTGCATTGTGTATCAGTGAAAACGTGTTGTAAGTTGTTGATAAAAGGTAAATACTCATTACATTATAATAAATACTATGTATTCACTACTAATCACGATATTAATAAGTATAAATGTACGTAATAAAGTATAGACACTTTGAGATGTGCGACGACGAATTATTAGAATTCCTGAAGTCAGACAAACTCGAAACAAATTTGGATTATCGGCAAAAACGGCGCGATATAAGGATTCAATGCAACCCTTTCGAATTGGACGATTTTATTAAAAAGTACCTATAGATTATCCAAGGAATTGTTGTTAACGACCAACAAGAGACATCAGTGGCTATCCAATGGCACAACAAACAGTGTCTGCAGGAATAAGTGAAATCGCGGCATGTGTCAATCATATAGAAAAATATATATATATATAGTGACTATTTTTTATATTTAACCTGCTTTAAATACTTAGGACCTCGTGTTGTGTTATCCAAAATATTACGCATATTTTGTAATACGAATGTGTTTTTTTTAGGATTTATCAGAAATTCAAGATCCCTGGCATATTGGGTAGAATTGATGGCACCCACGTAACAACTGTTGGGCCCACCGACAATGAAGAAAGATATTAGTCACAAGCAGTATCACTCTTTATATGTCTAGCTCATTGACTTACAATTATATTTATGGACGTCGGGTCCGCGCTAAAAAGTGTCCGCACTTGTAAGGCGCTAAATCCTATACAGAGCGCCAAACTCCGCTTTAGTCTTCATTTGTTCGACTGACAGCGCGATACTGCGATGACATTACAATTTAAATTTCGAATAGGTTGACTTGGGACATTTTTTTCGTGGTTTTTGTATTAGACCTGTCGTTCATTTATTTGTAAGTCAATGGTCTGGCTAGTAAGATTATTATGGACTTGATAAAAATAACCTGAAGGCCTAACTTGTTATTTCATAAACACTTAATTTCAGATGTGATGCTGATATGAATATCAGTAGTATAGATGCAAACTGGTTGGTGAAGACACACATGGAATTTACATCCAATTAAACTTCATCTAGAAAATCTAAAAAGTGTATGTGTCTGCTTGGTACATTGCTGTACGACAAATTTATAAAGGTTTTAATTGAAGGAAAGAGAATATCGATATAGCATACACCATCATCATGATGTGCGAGTAAATAAATAAATGTTAGAGTGCGGAGAGCTACACTGTGGTCATCTATGGATCGTGAGAAATGGAGGAGGATACGCTGACAAGTATAGGGGAATAGGATATATTTTGTAAGGAAAGAACTAAGCTGCCTGCGTAATAGTGGGCAATTTTATGTCTAGGTATGTATGAAACAAACCAAATACAATAATACAAAAAAAATATTTCAAATATTTATTACACCCTGCCTATACCTACATATTATGTTTATCATATTAGGGGTAAAAGTACGAAATTGCCGTTTCGCACTGAAAAATTAAAACAATTTTTTTTAAGATTAAATATATTTGTTTAATCAAAGTTTTTTCCCTTGTTGTCTATACATTTCTGCAATGTAATCGGAAGGTCATTTAAACCTTTGCGATAGAAGTCTGGAGACCTGGACTCCACAGCTGTGTGAAGGGATTTTTGTACTGCTTCCTGGGAATTTTATTTCCATACAAAAAAAAATCAAATTGCGGAAAAAAATGGTAGTCGGTCGGGGCGAGGTCCGACGAATATGTAGGATGATGGATAATTTATATCTGCAGGTCTTGTAAAACTGTTTCTCAAGCAGTGTGAGGTGTTGCGTTATCATAGAGCAATAACGGTGAAGCTGTTTTGCTGCGAGTTCCGTCGTCATTATTTAAACGCCATATGTCATATTGTGGGTATGCTAACATTAAACCATGACGTTTCGTGGTAGTTTGATACGGATCGGCTTCCATCATTACCTTCAATTCAACGTCATTTACATTTGTGACTGGTCTTCCTCGTGGTTCTTTCTTCAAGTCGTAATTTGCCGTATTGCCGGCGTTTGCCGTATTTGCGTATGCCGTATCCTCTCCAAATACAGCATTGACAGTTTCTGCTACGTTAACTCCATGTGGAAATTCATATTCGAAAATTAGGTACTCAGATTTTCGCTGTATCTGTCTTCACGTTAAAAGCTGAATGTAAAAACAATTGAAAGTCGAACAATCAAATATCATGTTTTTTTAAGTTAAGCATGTTTTACTTTTCGTGTGAAAAACGTTTCACTCTGAAATCGGACACCATACAGGTTTAATTTTAATTTAAAGTGGCCAGTAAAATAAATCGGCAATTTCATATTTAAACCCCTATTATTATCAGGAATCAATCGCATTAAATTAATCACAACACAGATTTGAAATAACTTGTACTCAGTCTCTTACATGCATCTGTACCTATTTCTAATTATTTAAACTCGTTTCATAACATGACTCACATGCATACATATATTATTTTAAATACACTATTTTATTTTACAGTCAATTTCATTAGGTACATAGATCACAAAAGATCCTTTTCCGTTCCAAAATGATATGGACTTTAAGGCGCTGGTATGAGTGAACCTACTCGTTGATAAAACACATCACATCACTTCGCTGGACTGTTCGCATTCCAAATATACTTATGACTTAACTCAAATTCATGACAAATTATAACAACTTTTCTGAAACGATAAAAAAACTAATTGATATAGTTTGTAATTGATAAAGTTGTAGTAAAGTACAACTGTGTATTAGTGATTTATATTTATAAATTGTTTGCATAATTGTTTCAGGCGATTCTGGTTACAAACGGATACACCGGATGATGAGACCATTATTTCGTGCTGAGAAAACGTAGAACAAAATCATTTTATACGTATAAATACTGGTTAAATACTACTTAAAATTAAATGCAAATGATATTTATAATGGAATCTTCATGAACTCTTTTTGTGTTTCAGTGTTTTTGGAAGCTCCAGAACAGGAGCAACAATCTCTCGATCTCAAATTAAAATCACTCCAAATGCAAGAATTTACTATTGAAAAAAGAAATAATTTATTAAACATGTATTTTAATTAGAGATGTTCATTATTTCAGTAAACACCTATTGAAACCCCTAATAACAGGTATCACCCTATCTATAAGTAATTACAAACATCTTCAGTTTATCTGCAATTGCTCATAGTATAGGTTACTAGTTACGTAGCTCACTTTCCTATCCCATATTTCCTCCTTTCCGCTCTTTTAGAAATCCCTGTAAGTCTGAAAATAAAAATAATATATACTACAAGAACTTGGTTTCTTTCGAGTATACTTTTGGAATAAAATCCTGAAACAGGTACTCACATGCTTCCATTATTTTAGTTTTTAGGATCATGGTTTTCTAATTTAGAAGTGAGGGCAACCCATACTTTTTCCAATTGTTGGGACCTGTGAGTCTTTCGCCATGTAATCCAATAAAACTCTTACTTGAGCAGTTGTACTTCAAACAATGAAAATATGAATAAGTTATGTACTTATGGTATGATAACAAATGCAATACCCATTAATGTAAACAATAACCTAAAAGTGTGCTATATTGATACTTACCTACGGTGTTTAGTTTTGGGCAAGATTGACCACAGAGTACATTAATAAACTTCATTGAGCTTCTAGCACAAGCTAATAATAGATGTCTTCTAGTTTGAAAAATAGTTATCAGTTTTGTTTAACTTTGATTCACTTTTTTTTTAATAAATTTTCACTCATATATTTTGGGTAGGCAAAGGTTTCACCGTACAGCCTCTTCATACAAATTCTATTCTTCCTTGTATGGAAAAGGCGACAAGCGCGTGTTCTCTATTTATTTCACTTAGTAATGACATACCTGTTCTATCCTTAAAAGAACATGCCTTTGGCTAAAAATACGTACGCACGTATCTAAAGAAAGAACATTACATTGAAAAATTTCACAATACAAATGGTAGCAGTCCAGAACAAATAACGATCATTTTAGAGGATGGAAAAAAATAAAAGAAAGGAGCTGCCCTAACTACAGAATGAACGTGCATATCTAAACAAAAATTTAACGCTACATAATCTATCGATAAGTCATTATCGACATGCAAATGTATGACTAGAATTTTGAAACTTTTCTTTTTGTTTCTTTAGTTTACTGTAATCAAAGTATGATTAAAACGTATGAAAAAATCGGAAACGAGTGGATAATTTTGATTTCAGGAACTGAGAATGCCTAGTAAATGAGTATTGTTGAATTTAAATTAAATATAAAATAATTTACCAATAAACCTAACGATGGAATTGCATTATCATGTAATCTAGTTACATTCAAAGTTCTGTTAAAATTTGACTCTTTAAAATAAAAGGAATAAATGTAGATGGTCTTTGATCCAATGTTTCAATTCGCCTGTCATATGATTTCTAACAATTCTTATTTCATTTGTAGGTAAACTTGAAATAGTAAAAATAATAATAATAAAATAATAAAAACCTCGTAATGAATTGTTTTAATAACGGAATATCCATAATATTTACGCTTACAAGACCAACACTGTCACATAACAATAATCAAAATATACAAACAAGTAGGCAACCTGAAGTAATCAAAGAAAAATTTGGCAAGATTTATGAATAAACTACTTACATAACTCTAATTACATGAGATATTTGGGCTATTGTGTGATTCACAGACAGAAAAATAACCATGCCTGTGCAATGTTACATTCGGTTGATTTTCGCTATTGCTAATGCCACATCGCATTTTTATTAGTACCTAATTGTTTTTACTGTCAATATTTTTGTCCATTTTATTACTATCCATGTCAATAATTCAATAAAACACTTGAAAAATATTTGTTTTGACATTTGGTGTACTTACCTTACCATGTACTGCGAAATGAACATAGTTGGCATTTAATATGACGTTACGTATTTTCTATTCTCGTGTTTGGCACAGACCAATGTAAGGTTATCTCTTTTGGCTTACGACGATACGCAGTACAACAACATTGAAAATATAAACACAATAACATGTTTATATTTTCAATGTCGAAATGCATCATAAACATATAACTGATTTATATATGTCAACACAACATGTCCTTTGGTTTCCATAATCTAAGTCGATTATTCATGCGCGGCTAACGCTTCGAAAGCGAATCAGTTTTAACTAGCTCATGGTACGAATTTTAACGATTCCGTTTAGGATCCAAAATTTAACTGCTTCGTTATTGATTCGTTTTAGTAAAGTTCATGGTACGGCCCCAGGGCACATTTAACGATTACACCCTGTACAGATCGAGTCCGAACTATACACTTTACTTGATCATAATATCTTGTTACAGTCATAGTCGAAGGCCGTAAGCTGTCATACGAAGTGGTGGACATGTCAAAAATTAATGTAATTCTCAACTCGCATGATGTCAGTGAGTACCTCAAGATATCGTGTAACGGGCTAGAAGCGCGGTGCGATTCGTACTCGTTCGAAAGCGTACGATGTACATTCCAAGTCGACGATGGCTGCTGGTACTATGAATCTGTGATCATCACGCCTGGAGTCATGCAGATCGGATGGGCAACGAAAAATAGTCATTTTTTAAATCATGTAAGTTAAAAATTAATTATTGAGTCATGGTCAACTCACACGAAAGGTAAAATTTCAAAAAAAAGAGTCTATACATACCGACTATACATGATATCAATAAATTTTACCATAAAGTAATTAACTATAACAATGTGAAAAGAAAATGTTTATTGCCATAACTATCTGTTAAAAGTATGTGTTGTATTTGTTTGCTTTTGCTGAAGTTATTGATGAATAAGACCTGACGCAGCATGTGTCGACGTAGATACCACAGAAATCTAAATAAATAGGCACTAGAACTGTAAACGACACGCTTATTTTTTTAAAAACGGGTGTCGCCAAATAGTTGTCTGTGATCGACACTTGACATTTCGTTTTTCATGAACGTTAGGGATGAGACTTGGCCGATAATTAAAAACACTTGTCTTTGCTTTAATAATAAGGGTTATTTTAATCTTCATTAAAATGTACTGAACAAATTCTACTATATGTAAGAAACCAGTTCTTTTTGTCTGTTATCATCAATATTAAAGATAACTGAATATCCAGTTGATTTGACATCGACACATTTGGGAACTTTGCGTAGGTATTGTATTAAAAATACGTATGAAACGTAAATGATGTAATTCACACTAAATAAATGACAAACTGACACTTATTTAGTTTTATCAATATACGTGTTGATAAATTACCGGCATAAATGTTTTGTGCGTTATTGTAACAATGATATATAAGACAAATAAACGTAATTTGTTGTACGCACAAACCGATTTATGTCGATATTTTTTATCAAAACAAAAAGTATAGTATAGTTACTTACATCACTAGCTCAACTGCAATATTAGCAAAAATTGCGATATCGTAGATGACACATTACATTTCTCAGTACGGTTTGTAACACCATATATATTTGACAGCTTGAAGCAGCACGCACACACTTAGCAACACGAATAAGCTGATTCTCATAGTGGATTATTTCATTTTAATAAAAACAGCGTTTGTGCTTTAAAATAAATTTACCGGTGAAATGTAATTCCTTTATTGGTATAATTACAACTTGTGAAAGAATTTTCGCAATTAGATTTGCTGCAAATCACCATTTTTACACACTGTTTCACTTCCGAAGTTTCGAGCAATACTGAATGACAGCCCGCGCACTGGTGCCTTAAGCGACACCAGGGCGGCGACAATGTCGCCACATTTATGTGACTTCTAGTGCTTATTTATGTAGATTTCTGTGGTTTCTACTGTATTTTAAAGAACGCTGATTAAACGTTATTGGTAGTAACACAAAACTAAGGTTAACAACGAGTGCACTGTGAGTGTGAAAAATAAAGTTTCCGAGTTGGAAAAGAAATTCGAGTGGTATAGCACTTGAATTCAATTTTGAAAGTAATAGAAATTAAAACGTTTTCATGAGTTTTCTAGTCTATTTTTTATGACACTACATCCTTTTGAAAATTTGCAACCGTGTGTCAACAGGAAGGCTTCGGGATCGGCGACGACCTGTTTTCGCTATCGTATGATGGATGTCGGAAGCTGGTGTGGTACAAGGCGCGACCAACCCCCATCAAGGACATGCCAGCATGGCGCCCGGGCGACGTACTTGGCTGCCTCATCGACATACCTAAAAGAGAGGTCATCTTCTCACTCAATGGACTCCGACTTGCGCCTTGCAACGAAATCTTCGAAACTACTAGGTTAATTCATGTTTAAAATTAAGAACGGTTACACACGGTGACGTTTAGCAGCGATGCAAACGCGATACAGTAGCGATGCAATCGATAACCGTCTACCTGCAATGCAGTCGCACGTTTATGTCGATGCAATCGCGCGTTTGTATCGATGCAGTCGCGAGTTTGCATCGATGCATTCACCTATGCAATCGCGTATTCCACGAACGCACGTTAGCATCGCTGCTAAAAGTCGCTAGAAGAACTTGTGTGTAACCAACCACTCTAACTTCTACACTTTATGTTCTCCTATAGTCTATCTGTTTTGAAGACGTGTGAAATGACATTTGTAGGGTTGCCAGTTTCCATAAAGTTTGAAATAGTTATGTAGTTGTTGTCGATAATTTTATCGATGGATTGTGAAAGATAAAATTTTGCCAAACATGACAGAATTGCGAATGTACGTACGGCGTCCTAAGGATTACTAATTGCCTTGTTGCCTTCTTTATTCATATTTTGATAGTTGGCCTAATAGTATCGAGATCAATTTTTATTCTTATACATTTTAACAAGAATAGCCGGATTTGATTATGTATATTAAATTAAAATGAAATTCTTTAAAATATGTCTCTAAAATATGTCTGTTCTTAATACAGCGGATGTATGTATGAACTTCCAAAAATTGATAATTCAAATGTACTTGTGCTCAGTAATTGGATGAATCGAGAATCGATCAATGGGTCGAGGAGACCAATATTCTGTCGATAGAATATTTATCGACTGAAATCACTTGCTAATCGCAAGCTGGAAAATTGGCACGATGAACTGTCATTTTACTCCATCTTCAAAAATGACAGACTATAGTTATTAATAAGCGATTCTTTGCCAATCTCAGGAACGGATTCTTCGCGGCGGCAAGCTTCATGGCGGTTTTCATAAACATAGTTCTAAATACAGCGGGTGTATGTATGAACTTCCTAAAATTGATAATTCAAATGAACTTGTGCTCAGTAATTGGATGAATAATGGGTCGAGGATAGTTTAAATGAAACAAGTTCGGCTATTTATTCCATAAGCGTGACCAATATTCTGTCGATAGAATATTTACTTAATACACTTGCTAATCGCAAGCGGGAAACACTTTGGCACGATGAACTGTCATTTTACTTCGTCTTCAAAAAAGACAAACTATAGTTATTAATAAGCGATTCTTTGCCAATGGCAGGTACGGATTCTTCGCGGCGGCAAGCTTCATGGCGTTCCAGCAGTGCCGGTTCAACTTCGGCGCTGAACCATTCCGCTTCCCCCCCACCGATCGACCCTTCTCCAGCTTTAACGAACACGGCTCCCTTACCGACGAACAGAAAATGGTAACACGCAAGACTCATATCGTGTGATTATTTTGCGCCAGAATTATCGACTGATTACATTGCCGTCAGAGACTCGCGATGATATATTTAAACACAAAATGTTACTTCTATTTGTGACTGCTAGAGCCTCTGTACAATTTGCCCTACAACATTGCGAAGTGTTCTACGCGGTGACAGTTGTGATTGCACACCATGGTAGGGGTACTTAATAAGTTATGCGTCTAAAGGATAGAGTATATATAGTTGTAGACAGTCCACAATTTGTGGCATTTTGGCGCATTATTAGTCTATAAACACTGATTGGAATCGAGGGACTTAATGTACCTAAAATGTGAACCTTTGTTTTATTATGGACATACCCATTTCGTCATCAATGCTTATGAAATTTCTTTTTAACCGACTTCAAAAAAAGAGGAAGTTCTCAATTCGACTGTTTTTATGTATGTTACGCAATAACTCAATGGTGAATCGATTTCTTTTTTTTGTTGGAAAGAGGATCCCAGAAGAGGTCCCATTTAAATTTGAAGAAAATATTCCACCTTAAGGGTGGCTAGCTAGGGGATGAATGACTTTTGAGGTCGGTTTTTTAGTACTCTGTACTGAGATTATTACTATATATTTTCTAAACATTCAAAAATGTATGGTGTCTCATGTTTAATTTTTAAATGTTAAAGTATTTAAATACATAAGTACCATATAGAAACATAACTACAATATTATTTTTTCAGACAATAATTTGTAGCAAATACTTAATAGGAAATAATAATTTGTCGTTAATGATTTTCTATAAATAATGCGCATATTCAAATGTAATCAGTTCCGAGAAATCCCGGGATTTGTAGAAGGGAATTCTTAGTTTAGCTAAATTAACCCCCTCATTTCTGATAACTTTTTATAAGTCATCTATAGTTAAAGGGCTGTGCCTTTACAAATACAAATTTGACTCGTTTTATGTTGCTTCAAACAACTCATGTGAACATTTTGAAAATGTGTCTGAAATTTGTTAATAAATATCTCAACCAAGACTAGAAACGTAAATGAAAGATTATAAAGTCAGTATTGAGACGGTGTCTTATTATTAGTATCTAACTTCTGTTCTGGCCATTACATTGACGTTACAAGCAACGCCGCCGTTACCTTCCAACTCCTGGGGGTCTACTCTCGTTCTCCGTCCGACATTCGTCCAAAACAATTACTGTCAAATAGGTAATACTCGATCAAATTAAAAGAAAATGTCAAGTGTGAAGCTTCATTTCAATCATGCCTCTTTTAATTTGGTAGAGTCATTGAGTTACAAATAAAAAGTCAATGGGTAGAGTATTACTTATTTGACAGTTAGTGTTTCGGACGGATAATGAAAGTACAGGGCCTGATTTCTGAATACCCGCAGCTATAATGTTCTTCGACTAATTTTAATTATATTTTCTCGTTGATTTCTCTAAGGATTTGTCTGTTTTTAATGCTGATAATAAATCATTACTTATCAAATATATAGTTTTGATATTTATGGAAAATTAGTTATGACGTGAATTTGCAAAAATAGTGAGTTGTACAGATTCGTTGATAAGGCGAAATATGTGTGTCGAGATCGTAGCAAATGGAGATCAGTGGCTCTGCCTACCGTACATTATCTACTTGTATCTGTTTCGTACGTTGTTCGAAAAATTGTAAAGGCAACATAATGTAAATCATAATCATCATCTGAGGCGCTTTGCTCGAAGCGTTAAAATATTTACCACGGTCACCATATCATAGTGTATATTCCAGGTGGTGCCCAGACGAATATATCTAGAGCAGCTGAGGTGCTCGAGCGTGAAGGAGGACTCGTGCACACTGTGCTACGACGACACAGCGTGTTGTGTGCTCGAACCTTGTGGCCACAGGTACGACATTTGAATCTTCGCCGCCACAACAAGCACTATACTTTGTTTTTCTCCGAATTAAAGAAAAAACGTAAACAAAGTAACAGTGATCTTAAGTAAATTTCTTCAATCTTTTTCCGCAGACAACAAATTACAGTGAAGGAAAACATAATAATTGATGACAAATGACATTCATAAATGATACTATAATAAAATAAGCTTGTAGCTTAGACTATGGAAACCAAAGGACATGTTACATTGACATATATAAATCAGACATTATATGTATGTGATGCATTTAGACGTTGAAAACATAAACATTTTATTGTCTTTGTTTAACTATTGCATGCCGTCGTAAGCCAAAAGAGATAGCACCACATTGATTTATATCAAACACGGGAATCGAAAATACGTAACGTCATCTTAAATGCCAACTGTCCTCATTTTGCCATTTTTGGAGTAGATCAAAGGGAGGTACATCAAGTGTCAAAACCAACGTTTGGCCAAATGTTTTAGTGAAACTCGCATGAATTGTAATGAAATGAACAAAAATATTGCCAGTCAGAACAATTAAGTATTGATTAAAATGCGTCGTTGCGGCATTAAGGGGTGCGGCAGTAGAAACGGTGGAAATCAACCGAATGTTACATTACACCGACATGTGTTATTTTTTTTGTCTATAAATCATACAATGGCCCAAATATCTCATGCAATTAGACTCATTTAAGTAGTTTATTCATAAGGCTTGCCGAAATTTGCTTTGGTTACTTTAGATTGCCTGTCTGTTAGCATATTTTGATGATTGTTGATAACGATTATTTTGAGATAGTGTTGTTCTTGTAAGCAGACACATTATCGATTTTCTGTTGTTGAAACAATTCACTACGAGGTTTTTATTTTTTCATAATTTTTATTTTTAAAGTTTACCTACAAATGAAAAAAAAGAAAGAATTGTTGGAAATTATAGGATTGCCGAACATAAACATTGGATCAAATATCATCTTCGTTTGTTCGCTCCATTTTGAAGAGTCAAATTTTAATAGAACTTTGAATGTAACTAGATTACTTGATAATGCAATTCGTTCGTTGCATTTATTGGTAAATAATTGTATATTTAATTTTGAGTAAACAAGATACATTGCTAGGCATTCTCAGCTCCTTAAAACCATCCACTCGTTTCCGATTTTTCCCCACTGGCAACTCTAACATTATATAACATATATTAGATGCACTGACGTAATAATTATAGGCGCCCAATAATAAATAGCAGCAGCTGCAATAACTTATCATCCATATAGTTTCAATGTAAATGATAACTGACAGCGACCAACGTGGCAGCTACACAAAACTCATCTACAATGGCCGTTTGTAATGCTCTTTTTCAAACTTGTCGAGGGTGTAGACAGCAGCACTAGCTGTATATCAATCTGCTGCGCTCGCGTTGGCCTAGGCTCGACCAATATGTATTGCAAGAATACTTGTTGACTCTACAACCAACCATCAGTACAGCCAAATACTTCTAGAATGTTAATTGAAGTGCAGAATATGCAGACAACAAATGCTGTTACCAATACATATATACAAAACAGCTTAAACTATTTAAAACAATTTAAAAAAATCTAAATTCAGTCTTGAGATTGGAAATGCATAGAGATCTCCTGATTTATATTATTTTTCGTAATATGTAAGCATTTATAAATGCAAAATAATAAATTCAAAATCTCATATCTATCAACCCGGATATTCCCATATGACAATGAATATTGATCTACTTTAATTAAACATTTTAATCATACTTTGATTATTGTAAACTATACAAATTACAAACATAACAAAAAAAAAAGTTTCAACATTCAATAGACTTAATTGATGACTTATCGATGATTATGGTACAACACTAAAGAAATCCGCCATTTGTGGTGGATATTTTTGGTTTAGGTAGGGACGTTTATTCCGTTGATAGGGCAGCTCCTTTCCTTTCTATTTTTTCCATTCTCTAAGGCTTGTAGTGGTCGCCATTATGGAAATAATAATAATCTCTGTTTCGTTAAGTTTTTTAAATAGATTAAGTATGTAAAGATAGAAACTTGTTATTTAATCTTTAGTGAATACTACTACTAGTACAAGAAACGTAATAAATACATAAATTTAATCAACATTGTTTTGCTTACAATTTGGCAGAACAAAATGACGCTTGATAAAGCACCCAAAATTTCCTTCTGCCTAATGCTAAAAAAACAAAGTACAGACATCATCAGGCGCATCTTCTATTAATATTGTGATATCGTTCGATTTCCAGAGGGTTCTGCTCCGTGTGCACGTCACAACTGAAAGAATGCCCGATGTGTAGAGCGCCTATAATGAATGTGAGGCGGGAAGACACATGACACGAGGCACTGTCGAGATCCAGGACCTGCACGTCGCAGAGGCCTGGCGGTGGGCCCGGTGACCCAGAGCTCCTGCCCACGCCCGAACCTTGCCACTCCGACGACGAAGACCAGCCTGACCAGCTCTTCGACATCAACTCACGAATTTTTCTCCCATGCGCAAGATATATCAACTAGATAAAGAGATATCCATAGTTGCCTATTCATTTACATTGTTAACAATGTTGGCTATATTACTCTGTTATAATATTATAAGACACTTTACAAATTGGCTTATAACTTACGAAATACAAGTATTGAATGAATACTCATTTCTTTCGAGCTATAATAAAAGAGGCTCTAATTAGTTATAGTATGATTGAGAATGTTTAGTTTCACTGTTAGTTTAAATTGTAAGCATCTCTATGAGACATGCTATTTGCATTAACAATGTCGTACTAATGGTGCGCTTGATTCTCCGTTGAATTTTACGAATAATCTCCAATGTCTATTGTCATTTATAAGGGTTCTGCGCTGAATTGTTTCGAATCTTAAATGTAGATTTTCAGAATTAAGAGTAGATTATGTGATCATGCAATGACTGTCGTCATAGTTTACGATCCCGTCTTAGAAAGTGATATCCTCATCTGTTATTTGGATGAGAAGTGGCCTTTATTAAAGATGATCTTGTGTAATATTAATTGTCTGTTACAATGGTTGCAGCGATAACAATTTAAAATGGGAGATAGAATACCAGCTGCTTCTGTTTATTGTAATGCAATTATTAGGATATATCTAGCAGAATTTCAGGTGAAAATTATTTTACGCCATATTTCACTTAATTTTTTTTAAAGTACTTATCTTTCATTCCGTCCTCGTTAGAGTAAATTATGTTTAGCACCACGATAGCTGCCATAACATCGTTATGTGTTACGCTCCCACGTACCACCTTCCAAAAATCCTATCAACCGTTTTCGTTATACGTATTTGCTTATGGCTCTTTCCAGCTTAGCTCCGTATAATTTCATAACTGTATCTCATTTTCCAAGTGGAAAGGGTCCTAACAGATTCGAACATAAATGGTATTTAAAGTTTGGATATCGGGACAATCATCGAATATCGATATCATCATCCAAGGGGATATTGTTTCCTAGATAATTAACTCTGTATTTTTTACAATTACGCCATTCTGTATAGAATAACAATAAGAATCTTTTTACTGCCATATCCAAAAGTAACTGTATAAGCGAATCAAAACTCATGTATAATAATGGAAGCAGCAGTAATTATCCGGTAACAGATGTGGGTAGAACCGTCTAAGACCAGATCTTATACTGTTGGTGTTGTTAACGTTTGCAAAGTCAGTGTAACTGTAATCTCCAGTTTGATATTTCCAACGGCATTAGGTGTAACGAGCAGTATTTGTTCTGCTGCGTGGTCTAGTTTTTAGTACTCACTGAATGTATTTTGAATGACTGACTAAGGTAGGGCATCGCGAAAGACTTAGGGTATATTGATTTACGTCACTTTTGACAAAATTAGGAATTAATTTGATTGAATCTTACTTTATACGTGGTAATTTTTTCGAATACATCTGCAACGTACAAACTTATCATATTTCAATTAAATTAGTTGTTTTTTTTTTCAATGATTAATGGTTACTCAGCATGAAAAATGATTTCCGGTCACGTGCAAGGGATATGTGTAAGGAATGTCTTATGAATTAAATTTCTTTCTTTAACCTTTACCTATTTTCTTGCAGACTTTTTAACATTGTCCAAAAAATGTTGAAGTAGTCCAAATGAAGCCGTAACCGATGTATATTTTTATAGTCAAATAAAAATAATAACATTGTCGTGGCCATATTCTATAGGCCTATACGTCACTATCGTCGCCGCGTCTTTGAACTGATCTGTATACATCTATGCTCCATCATCTTTGGTAACGGCTTTGGGGTGTTCTTGTAACACCATTACGATCTGCAAATTGCTTTAATCATGAATAAATGGCAGTCTCGTTATTTTATTAGCATTACAAAAATAGTATACTATGTGATGTTTTTGGGTTGTCGAATATAAGCATCTTCGTGTCTATACACGTCTTTATGTTTTGCCCAATTTTGGGAAGGGTAGCATAAAAATAAGCAGTAGCTATACTAATATCTTAATTTGCGTTGATACATTGTGCGGAAATAAGGTGGATGATTTTCAAATGTTTGGCAGAATAAAACGGATCATTAATTATCCTTTAATATCCGTGCTAAATATCTTTAATGCTTCTTCTAAAAACATCTAAATATAAATAAATCATAACCAAAACCTTGTTTCGCTCAGTGTAATCGCTTTTACTCAAGTTGAATCGAATCAATGTGTATTTTTATAGCTATTATTGTGTTATAAAGTATTTACACGTTATCTTGTTACAATTGTCTTCTCGTTTGCTTTAACAAGGTGAGGCCTTTCGTAGTATTAACAAATTATACCAGTCTGTAGACTGTTCGATATCAAAATTTCAAAGTTATTCATATTATAAAATCATGTAGATATTTTTAATCGTAGTTATTAATAATTATGGATATTGCTAATATTGTTCAAAGTTATATTTTGGCATCCAATAGTTTAAGATCTAGTTAGATAAAATGCAATCAATAAAACGTTCATTAAATAATATACTTAATTACTACGGTTTGAATTAGTATTTTAGCAATTTAGCTTACGAGGTTTTTGCAACAACAACAATCTTATTAACGCAGTAAAATCTACACCCCCAAAGAGTATTATTATTATGGTCACTCCTACCTAAGAATTTAAAAATTACTTAATATTTTTTATACTAATTTAAAATTTTGCACGAAATATTTTCAAATCATAGCACGTGGACTAAGTTAGTTATATATGATTATGTAAATATGTATGTCCTACGAACTTCCTGTGATCACAAGAGTCCAGTAAATACTATTCCATCCACTACCTATGTATACCATACCATTGTTTAGTATTCATTTTAATATGTACATTATTGTACATATATGTGATACATATGTACAATGGTCTTTTTATGTGTACTATTTATGAAAGTATAATTAATATGGCTATAATTTATTTACTAGAAACAAATAAGTACAATTCTTCTATGTTGCAAAAAATCTAATTCAGACCTACAATATTTAATTAAAATGTTTTTAGACAAGATTGATTTTTTAGCTCGCAAGCGTATTTAATTCGAATATTTTTTTATATCGTCTGCCATTCAAAAATATAAATCTTAAATAAAGTTAAATGTAAAAGAAAATGGCATCTGTAACTTACAAATTTATTTGTTATTTTTGCGTAGCTTTGTGATCTAAATATGTACTTTCATCTTTTATTTACAAAATCTATGATCTATTCTCGATGCTAAGTATATAATAAGTACGTTGGTCATATTATGCAACATACGTACATTATTTCCATAAAAATTTACCAAAATCTATTTTCTTATTCTGTAATGATATAGTTATCATTGTATACAATAAGAACTTAAAACACTGTATTATTTACATATTTCAAAAGGTATACTTTACAATTTAGAGCTTGTAGAATGTTTTACTAATAAGAATTCCACGTATTGGTAATAAATAGCTCTCGCTCACTGAATGAATGAATCATGGGTTTGATTATTTTTTAGGAACGGGGCGTTAGCAAAATCGAGTCAAGTCCAATGCGGAATTCTCATTAGTTTGCACATTCATTTTTATATATTGTACGTAGGCGACTGCGAAGTACAACGACGTTTGTGTGAATTGCTTCAAACAATCGTTTTCTCCAAGCACGGCCTCTGTTTATACCTCATCGTCTAAAAAGTAATTAATAAAGCATTACTTTCTTTTTAAAATACCTTGTTTTTTTATACACTGCTCAACAAATTGTAGGAAGTAAGGTTATTATAATATTTTTTTACAAATTTAACATACCTACTATTTCTTTATATGTTGTACATCAAAAGAAGCGTTATTTAATATTCATTTTAGTTTTAAAATAATAAAATGATTGTAAATAAAACAAATCATTGTGACAAAATAAAAAATATATATATAAAATTAAAAAAATATATTGTAACAGTGAAAATTATTAAAAGCTAATAGGTAAGTTTTTTTAACAGTGAGTCGGACCTCCCAAGGCATTAGCGACGGCTCAAGTATGAGGTTGTCAGTTGTTGCCTGTGGAATAAGATACCATACTCTGGAAAATGTGAAAAAAGTTCTTTAAATTTTGGGGAAGATCATTGAAAGATTTTCTGCCGAACAAATCCCATGCCTGCTCAAAGGTTGAGACTTGACTGTCAGATGTAATGTAGCATATTCCCGGGATGCGGTCGGGACAAGTACACTATTGTTTACCTATGGGAGTTATCCAAGGTTCTATAACTAACAAAGGAAACTAACACCAAATTTTAACATTGATCGTTTATTGATCGGTTTACAATAAGTAATAAATGCACCTCTTAATTATACTAGAATTTCATGAACCACGCGGGGTTACTATCCTAACTAATCTAGTGTCGGCGGTGAGCTAAAGGGTAGGTTTACGGGGTTAAAGGGTGAACAATTCGCACGTCCTGGACCCACCTTGGTCACGCGCAGCAATTGTTCCTCCAATACAGGAAGCGGGCAGGGTAGGTGCGGGGTGAAGGGTAAGCGATTCGCACGGCCTGGGCACACCATGGTCACGCGCAGCAATCACTACCCAACCCAGAAGACGGACGGGGGCAGGATAGTCTCTACGGGGGGCGGAAGACGAACAATTGTGAGTGTATTGATTTGAGATCGGCCAACTGAACAGGCCACTCTAATAACGTGATATCGTACTCGCGGAACACATTCATCACCAGCCTTCCAGTGTGTGCACGTGCATTATCGTACATAAATATGAAATATTAGCCGAACTGCTATCGGTGAGGGATTACCGTGTGTTGCATAACTTTGTCGCAGTATCGTTCCGCATTTAAATTGCCTTGTAACCAAACGAGATCAGTTCTTCCAACCAGGCAAATTCCAGCTCACACTATTATCGTTCCACCTTGGTATAGATGAACTTCCTGAGAATACTGCAGTTGTGTAGTGCGGCCAGGAATTCGCCAAACTCGCACTCTTCTTGAATCGGGATGAAACTCGAAACAAAGCTCGTCAAAAAGTACACGCACCCACTGAATTTCAGTCCAGTGCAAATGTGCATTCGCCCACCAACACCATAAACGACGTCCTCGATTTTCGCCACGGAACTCTTAGCGATCTCCGTGTACGAATCTGCTCCTAGCAGTTTGGTCCCTAACAACCACTTGATGCAAAAACCACAGTCTTTCTACCACTTGGAGTTGTAATAATAATAATAACGCACACACTCAACATAGCCCCGCACTAGGGAAACCCTGTGTCGCGGGTGCTATAAATACACACATTGGCTCAACTCACACTGGCGCAAAGTGGAAGCGTCGCGTCCCGTATTTTACCATCAACACACGGCGACGCGGGTCGTCGCGCGAAATCTCTCAACTTTAACCAAACGTCGACGCGCGACAGTGTGAGTTGAGCCACAGACAACCACAAATTACACTCAAACTCACGAAATAAATAGATGGAGGCCATACAAATATTTCTCCCGGCCCGGGAATACAACCTGGGACCTCTGCGTGTAATGTGGGGCTATCTACTTTCAGTATTTTGCAAAAAACTATCTTGTCTCTGGGTAGTCACACTACAACTTAATCAGCGACGTTCGGCTACATTTCTTGTAGCCCTCTAGAATGTCCATAATCCGCAAATTAGGGGAACGTGGGGTATTGGGAGCCTGCGGGTAATGAGAGCGGTGTTAAACTGGACGTTCCCAATGCTCGTATTTGTGCAAACGACACTCCTATGTCTTCGTTAACGTTCGACAAGGTTCGAGTCCCGTGGGCGCCCCCGTAAAATTCCGCGTTTAGTCATATAACATGGTTGTGTTTTTCGCTCTGCGCTTATAAAATTTGCTAAATTTCATCATCCCAGGGAAGCATTAAAATGCATAGATATTAAATTGTATTTACTTCCTTTTTCAATTCGATGTTACGCGGGTAACGAGAGCTATTTGGCTCTCCTTATCCCATTGCAATATTCACTGGATATTCCTTTAACACTTTGTTTATTTTCATTACTTTTTAACTTGTATATTTTATTACTTTTATTTTTCAGACTGATTATATATAATGGCTCCCATTACCCGAACCTGTGGGGTAATGAGAGCGAATGACATGTTTTAGTTTTTTCTTCTTTTAACCAAATATTTTATTTTAGTTTCATATTTTTTCTGTGATTACCTAGTACCCAGATATGTGAAGCGTACGTTCATAACTAATACAAATTTAAATTGCATAAATTATGATATTTTTTATTGTCAATTTTCTTTAGTAGGCTCCCATTCCCCCACGCCCCCCGTACTCTTGGTTGCAAGTTAACAACAGCGTATGCAACATCACACTGATTGCACGCAGATTCCAAATACCCACAGCCCCAAGCATCTCTCCCCGAGCTAAATGACGACGTGACATAACGTTTAAAATCACAAAAATTAACTAAAACAACGATAAATTGTTTAGCACAAGAAAAATAAACGTTTAGTGATGATAAACTCTCAATTGCTTACATTAGAAAAACTTGAGCGCTACACCCATTTATGGTTTTGCCACCTAATTTCAAAACGCTTTTGTTTTAATTTTATATTTCGAAGCATAATTTTAATGCAGTTTTAATTTACATTTCTAAAACTGTCAGTGGCCAGTAGGTACTTTTTCTAAAATATTGAAAACGTTAATACAATTGGATTATTCCCTAGACTTCGTCGAGTACCTAGTGTATGTATATCTACGTACTATATTAATGTTATACTCTTGTTACTAAGGATTCAGCCTGACGATTTGTACGAATCACAATAAAAACGTTCGAGTATTTTTTAAACAAAATCATTAGGTTTTTTATGATATCAAGTGACGACACGACCTAGTCGGACACCTGGTAATAAGAGACATACCTGTCCGTAGCAGTTGCAGTGCCACTCGTAGCTTTAAATAACAAAGGTCTCAGGGGCACTGCAGTGCGTCCATCACCCTGAGACATGATTTGACAAGTCCTTTGTGCCTGTATTTTCACCAGCACCCTTCAATACCGGAACGCAGTAATGCTCATGATTGCTTGGCGGCAGAAATGGGTAAGGTGGCAGTACTTTCCTGGATGAAACTCTGTCACGAGGAGCTCTATTTCTACTAACACACGTAAGTCACCGAGATGACAGCTCTTCACTCACCTTCTCGTACTTCTACAGCCAAGGTCATTTATCACTTTACTGCTACCTATTTCAATTTTTGGTAATTTTGATGCAATGAATTGAATGATTACAATTTCTCTTGTCGGTGCCGTTCAAATACCAAGCGGAGGTGCGCCAGACATGTTAACAAGTCCTTTTGAATTTATATTGAAAGAGCAGACTGTATTGAATAAGGGGACAAAGAGGTTACAATTAGGTTAACTACAGGTACATCTAACTACTTTATCAATACAATTTTGGTGTAATTACAGGCACATAGGACTTATCAACTTATGTCTCAGGGTGACGGGCGCAGTGGTAGTGCCCATAACATCTTTGCGATTTAAACCTCTGAATGGCACTGCAACTGTTACGGATAGGCGTGTCGCTTACCACCAGGCGCACGACTTGTCCATCCTGTCACTTGTATTGTACAAAAAAAAAACACTGGTCGCGAAGACTGTTTGCTGTATTACTACAGAGTACCTATACGCAGTATGTACGTTCCTTAAGTGAATTCAGCAAACGATTACCACGGGTACGTACTACGTACCCTTTTCGTTAGGGCTATCTTAGTACTTTAGCTCTGCTCTAAACGTTTAGCTTAAAGGCTGTTT